TAACAGTATCATTGGTCTCGCTGTTACCGTAATTAAACGTGTCTACAATTCTGTCGGGATGAAAGCAAGCGAATAAGTTAAGTTAGATTTCTCTATGGCCATTGACTAATGGTTATTAGGCCTACGGCGGTCGATAACACAAAGCAATAGCCAACAACTGGTTTATGGACAATTTCGCAAACTGTGGTGATAATGTCCACCTATATATATGTCTGTCGAGATAGCACAATTAACGCCTGCATGGTTACCCGATACACACTATCAGATATAACGCGGTGCGCTATATCTGGTGCGGAAGATGGAGCGGGACGTTTGTCGCCCTCTCGTGTTCTTTGGCTGCCCTGTGTACCAGGGTCCGTGGGTTTGAGTACGAGATATTCTAGGAAAGCTATTTACATCTAATGGTCCAGTTTGTCCTCCTCCTTCTCCTCGATGTGTGTCCCCAATGTGTGATGTCCTTTCCACCGGTTCAGAGAATCCTGCTTGAAATAGTAGTCCCTGTCAATGTAGCGGCACAAATAATAGTGTTCAGTAGAAGGACCTTGGGTGATCGTTTATAACTCCTCAGTCAGGAGGGACCATCACAGCGGGCATTTTTGGTTCTGGTAGTGTTTACTGGACCTGACGGTGGCAAATAATAGGACTGACTAATCTAATTTAAATAGAAATAGAGATGATACCCAATCTGAGTAAGTGAAGGAATACAATATGCAGGATTTTGCATCCTGTTGTACGGAGTATATAGAAACATACAGTATGAGAGTACCTGCTAGACAATGTCGTTTTATACCAAGTAAAGCAGCAGGTACATACCGTATTTTAAAGTAAAACAAAAAGGCTCATGAATGTATAGCAGTGGTCTATAAATACACGACTTGCAAAGACGTCGAGTATGAAAAGTAATAAAAGAGCTGTAGTTAGCACGATGATTTTCTAGGAAATGGTTGTTGAACCTCGGAACTTGTTTAACGTGAGAATACCTTTTAAAAAACACTTGAATTTTAAGCGGAATTTCACTACAGCAGCGGTAACTGGAGCCTGGCATGCTTAGGCCTGCTTCCTCGACGGATTGCTGCCACACCAGACAGGCCTTAATTATGCTAAAGTAGTACATTATCGGGTTTCGAATCGCCCGTCATTCTTTGTTTGAGAAGATAGCGTAAGAAGATAACGACGGCTTTACCATCAGCTATCCAAAATGTAGTCTTTAGTGTAGACACATGCATAACATAAACGGCTCCCAAGGAATCCGGTACAAAAGCATCTCCGACACTAGATAAGCTCTGATAATGATGTGAGGACAACAGCACGCTCACAGCATTATTGTTTCCCTTGGACGATCCCAATTCGTATTTCGCTCTGCTGATCTAATGAGCCCAGTTAAGCCCACTCCAATCCGTGCCAAAGTATTGCGATGCGAGTTAACTGGAAACGGAGGGCTTTTGCTTGCTTTATACGAACGAGAATGAGACGACGGCTGTTAGCGAGGCTAGCAAGAGTCGTAGAGATTACCGTAAAAAAGCTCCGGAGAGAACAACAGGACAGGAAGCTTACTAGAAGATGTGCCGCGATTTTTTTGCTGTTCCTGTCACTTGTTCCATGGTCGACTTCTTTCCTGGCTCGCTTGTCGTTTGGCAGTGCAAAGCGCGACAGGATGGACGCTACATCATTGCAGTGTTTGTTGTTATCGTCGTTGCTACCCGCCTGTGTTTAAGGACACAGCGGCACTGGGCGTAACGACAGCAGCAAAACAGCAGCTGCCAGCAGTTACTTGGAATTCGGCATCTAAAGAAAAGTTATCCCAGCGAACGTGAAGGTCGAGCTTGGCTACGGTATCGGCCTGCTTCTGGCAAATAGGGATAACAGCTTGCTCGTTCAGTAGAAACTGACTTGTTGGTTACAAGATGCATCTTCTTGTATAGAAAATCATATGGCTATGAAAACGCAGACCACGATCATATTAGGTATGATCGTGCGCGTAGTCGACAGAGTCGTTAAATGCAAGGGGGAGAAATGGGAAGAACCGTTAGGGCGCCAAGTGTATAGAAGAAGGAACAAACAAATGCAAAAATTCGTGTACGCACCACCACGATTAACTATGAAGCCATGCATGAGACACGTATGTGTATCTAGCAGCGTGCGAAGACTTTGTGCATTAGAATAATTGCCATTTGGATAATTGTCTTTCTCACGAGAGCTAATATAAAGCGTGGAAACAATATTTACTAAAACTGTAAGCTACTAATCATATTATAATACTAATTACAATTGGACAGCCTTTTAGTGTTGCTTATTCCTAGAAACACTTTTATTACCGTTTGGTAAATCAATGCATAGAGCTAATCTATAGCCTGTGGTTCCTTAGCGGTCATTTCTTCGGTCCTTAGCGAGCATTTCTTTTTTTATAAATATTTAGCTAGTTTTAATTGATTCGCTTTTTCCAACCGCGCGTTAAAGGCTTGTACATAATCCCTTTTCACCCTGTAAATTTGCATCTCCCTACTCTTTTCAGTTGAACGTCCGTGTTCCCTAGATATTCGTCCAGAGACGCCGCTAAGAACTTTGTCATCCTGAATGGGTATTATGATTTTTAAGTGGACTCTCGGAGATCCTTCTTGATATTTCACTTTCTTTGAATAATAGGTAGCATATTTTTCCTTTTAAAGGACTCCAATATGGTTAACTCGTGACTAGGACGATACGCTTCGGTTCAATTTTAAGGTCAACTGTGCCCAAGGTTTGAAGTTGTGGCATACTTGAATAACGCCTAACCACAGCCCCTGATGCAGCTACCTATTTCACTCTTAGGCTGGAACTGAGCAAGTGTCGGAGCGACAGTCGACCAACATAGCCCCGAATGCCGGCCTTGATACCCTTTTCCAGCCTAGCTTTTAATGACTTGCTCTTGACAGCATCTTCGATCTTCTCATGGCGCAGGCCCTGAAAAGGGCCCTGTATAAGGCAACAAGCTATGTTTTTGTTGTATAACCACCGGGCTATTGTAATTTTCGCAGAGGCTCAGAGGGAAAAGCGAAATTAACGAAAGGTTCGCCAAACCATAGGAGCCGTTCAGACCACACCCCTTTGTCCCACTTTATACTGGGGCTCGTTTGCGGCATGCTAGGTAGGCCCCCGAGCATTGCAGTTCCCAAACAGCTTCCAATGGCATTACTGCCAAAGGAACGCTTCCTTTATGGCTCATTAAAGAGGCTAGTGACCCGTATGTAGGACTACAACAGTCGAAGGTACAAGACAACAGTTTGTTCGTCGAGAGCACCGCCAGTGAGTAAACACGTGGCCCCTTCTGACGGAATTGAATGGAACCACTTTAGGTCTGATACTCGACGAAGATGGCTGCCACAACACGGCTGCTTATGGCACCCGCCACCTGAGAAAGGTCACTGATTACGGTTGTACTCACAGCAAAGCTGCTTTTAACCTCGACGCTCAAGACGCAGCGTCAGAATGTTGTTACCTAATGGCTAAAATGGCCCCTGTGGCGGTATTCTAGCTTCGTTGACGTAAACTACTTAATATGCATCGTCGCATATAATAATATCCATATTAATATGCATAGTGGCGGATCTCGAACTCTTCTGGGCTTGCTGACCTTTTAGACTAATTGTTTACTTCACTATCACTTCCGAGTTGAATTTGAAGCGCACTGTTGTGCAAAAATCAATCGCAACTTTATTCTTAATGGCTATTAAATGGACCTGCGGGCTTTGTATCGTATTGCTTTCTACAATTAACCTATCTAGGCTAACGTAAAGTATGGGTCGAGCGCGTAGAGTTCCCTAAAATAACCCTGTCATACTAACCTTATATTTAATCAGCTTGTCTGAATATGTTCGCTAGGAAACTCAACCAATTCTAAAGGAGACAAATCCAGAGTTTGTTACGTAAGCTTCTGTAAATTTCTAAACTGTATTTCAGGGCCTTTTAGTGACCGCTAATTGATCCTGTGTTTGGTAAATAATAATGGCGTTCAACGTACTGCCATTCATTCAGTTGGTTAGGCTATTCATTCTATTCCTAGAATGGCTTCTTTACCTTTATTAAAAAGTAGTGACATACCCTACCCAATACATATATCCACAAATAGGACACTTTCGACTCGAGGACTCGGGATTTTTGTATATGGACATGTACCGCACTTCGATTCAAGGCATCAGAAGTTTTTTTCTAGTATTTAGGAAGGCTTTCCTCCTTCTAGTGGTTTCAGTGTTAACACTCGGCTACCATTTTGAAAGTGGGAAAAAATCGCAAGAAAAATCTCACCAAAATATAGCTAACCTCAGCCGCCATTAGTCTTGTCACAGATCTGTGTAAGGAAATTTTGCAAAGAAGCCAAAAAATTTGCGACGGATTTGTCAAGATTTATATTACGAAATGGACCAAGCAAGTGCCTGATTTTGCACGTAATTTCATTCGGGTAAAAATGGCGGCAAAAAAATGACGATGCTCTAGCGATGTGTCAAAAATCACCTCGACCAGATAGGTTTCGAATCGATTTAGGCCGGGTAATCAAGCAAACATACACAAAGTTTGAACAGTAATATTATATAGATTGATGATCTTCGGTAGGATATGGCAGGCTGTAGTTTGGTTATTTGAACGGAAATTTCTAAATATGCTAGAATCGTCACCCCCGACGGTCATTTTGATTTACTGTAGTTACGACTCAGCACAACTGCAACTTCTATTCAGGACCTAAACTTTTAAGGCATTCCTTCTTTTCGCCAATAACGTTACCGAAATTGTGTGTCAGACGATGCTGGCAGTTGATGATTGATTGTTTCTCAGATCTACTAAATAAGTGTTCGAGCCCAGAATACAGAATTTTGCCAAGTTAGTCGTAAATTTTGATTGCGACCGTTAGCTATCGATATATCTTAATGGTTCTCTGAAATCAGAATTTCTTGCGCCAAAAAATCAGTGATAGGGACATCGATCGATCAGAATAGAGTTACGTATACGCACTTCTTTTTGTTTGGCAGGACGAGAATGAGGCTGTCGTCTTCAGGAAGAATGTCGTCAGGTTATCCGAGATGGGTCATTGTGCTTCTGGTAATTGTCGTGGCCTGCATGGCTCTCTCGGTTGACGCCGCTAAGGAGAAACGAGGCAGGAAGAGGAAGCAGGCGCTCGAGCCGATGGACAACGAGACAGGATCTAATAACGAACTCGGTATGATGCGTTCGAGGACAGTTTTGGTAGCCTAACGACAACACACATGTTTGTTGATGTACTTCGTTGATAGATGTAAACAGATATGTGACAAATTTGTATCGTGGTCGAAAATAATAGACCAGAACAAAATGTGCCGACTGTCATATGCTATATTTGTGATTCCGTTAATAGGCAAAATAACGATAATCTCCTTCTCTTAAACAGGTAAAGATATGCATACTTCGGCAAATTAAGTGTTTTTTTAGGCTTTGTTTCTGAGACTGTATTCGGATAAAACCAGATATTTCAAATGAATTTTTTAAATGTGCTATAATTACCGTTCTCATTTACACTGCAGTCACCACCATTCACCGCGACTGTACTATCTAATAGTAACTGTGCGCCAAACGATATTGATAGTTAAGAACTCTGTTTCTCAACTACACTAAATACAAACAGATCCTAAAAGAATCATATTTTAGGCTGAGAGCAGGCCAAAAATCCCCAAAACGCAAGACGAGGTATAGCCGAATAACGATCTGGCTGCAAAATAGGACTTCTTTGGTTTTCCAAATCCAATCTTCTTGGTTTCCCCGTATCAAGCCAATATTACGCAGAATACTCCTTTGAAGACAGCATAAGCTAATGTATCGAAAATTATTTCTGAAGACGATCCCGTTGTACGAGAACTTGCTTAGCATCCACCAGATCTGGTAGTGAGAATTGTTCAGTTTGTCGCTCCGGCTGTAAGACAAGGATTAGTTGGATAAACTATGCTCAATGGCAGCATAATTATGTAGTTGTCAAGGATTTTAGGCCATAGCAGCATCGAGTCATTATTGAATAAAAATATAACCGCCATTAACGCAGAAATCACCAGTAGATTGTTAGGAAACTACAACGTTTATTAGCATTTTGAGATCAGAGATTGTCAAAAATATGCAAAGTTTTGGCATCCTGCTCCGAGTAAATTAGTACTTAAGGCAAATACCATCATAATGCTACTGAATAAGTCGAAGGCGATGAAGTTATCATCATCATACAATAATATTTTAAAAATAGAAGGAAATCCGGTTGAGAAGTTTCCTTTCTTTGAATAACAATGGATACGAGCGAATAGCTTGCATACTAGGACGCATCAGGCAAGGTTGCCGATGGTCCGTCGGAAATTTGCAATGATCGTTTAGAAAGCACAAGGGAAGGTGTTCATCGCTAGCATAAACTATCAAGCACAAGTATTGACGCTTTACCCTTCCTCAAGCAAAACGCGCTATCGGCCCCATAATTTTACCTACGGCAGACCACATATTCAATGTGATTTTGTAAGAAACAGTAGCAATGCTTCGTTCACTTTGTCCGACTAATTATTGGCGCAGTATCTTTATTACTCACGTTCCTTACCCTTTTATGCCAAGTAAGTATCTTCAAGTAAAGGGCAAGCAAACGTCCTAAATACCCTCAAATCTTGTGAACTGAATATATAATACATGTTAGTATATTAGTATGACTGTGGTGTACAATAAAGTGACGTTTATATCGCCACTTTATTGTACACCACAGTTGGTCTACCCTGCTGATAGTTGGAGAGCTTCGGTTAGAAGAAAAAAAGGTAGTCAGAAATAATCACTAATTGATTTCGGTACTTGTAATAATAGTAATTATTGCGATTTGCACTATTTGATGGTAACACCAATGGTGCCACTATACCAGGCCTTCTAGGATACCAGGATTCAAAACTGGGGTTTTGTTTTTGTCCTATTTGTTGTATTGCAGTGACAGGCGCCTGTCATAAGGTAGCGCTACGTCGTTGCGGACAGAACTTCATGAAAATTTTCAACCTGGTTGACTACCTCGATGGCATGGATCACTACAACGCACAATGCGCCCTCCGCAAGGCGTTCTTTGCTTGTCTCGAAAAGGTAAAGATTCAGAATGTTTGGCTTTAACTTACCTATAGTAAACGATTCGCTTTCATGTCTCGACCATCAATAAGGATAAATAATCAATAGACTTTTAACTAAATAACCTGATAGTTCTACAGCTCTTCAAACTATAGTATCAGTTGATATAAAGATATATTCTTATGTAAATAGAAAAGAATGCAGGGTATAATTTTTAAAAGTTTGTTTGCGTGTTTATTCTCCCTCGATTGGTTCCCGACTGCGCAGATCTATGTGTTGGCCTTTAATGTAGATTTTGTTCCTATCAAAGCAATTGCTAAAATTGTTGCTGTTTTTATCATATTATTACTATAAGCATCGAATACGAAATGGATTTACTTAAAATTGAGGTATTGTTTTACTGGGTTATACCCAGATCATTGTAGACCCATATTTGTATTTATTGTGTGTGGTCTGTAAGGCGTCAAAATAGAGGGACGATAATAATAATACGAGCCATGAAATAAAAACTGATCCCATTAGCTCTAGGCAAGGCTCCGTCTGATTCAAATGACTTCCGTTCTTAAATAGACAATTGTATTTTATGAAATTTCTGACCAGGTTCGCCAAAAGCCTTGCAGACGCCGCCGTCAGTTGGCACCGATCGATGAGAAGAAATTTACCGACAAACTTAGCGAGGCTATATGGGCAACCCGGGTGTGCGTTCTGGGCATTCAGAGAGTCGATGAGATCCCGAGCACCCGGCAGCTCGTGTCCAGCCATTCTCAAAAGAGACCCTCACAACGACAGTAACCCAACTGTCCTATTAATTGGCCACATTAAACTGAAATGGGCATGGAAACTATAATCACTGACCGTACAGTTGATCAGAACAGTCTACAGATTGAAGAGAATACAAATCAACAAAGCATTTGCCATAATCTAGAATACGAGTAATGACGTTTGCGCGAACAGAGATCGTCTAACAGCTACCCACAATAGCACATTCTCTATTAAAATTTATCACAATCATGTACGAACGATCACATGGATCTGTTCCATACAAGTTACAAGCAACACATAACAGACAAGTGCTTACATGTTTATCTGTCTTCCTCCGGAATATAGTAATATATATACATATATATATATATATAATTTTGTATATGACGCATATATATATATATATATATACATATACAATCTCATAAACTGCGCATTCGTTTCTAGAAGAAGTTGTTGAACTTAACGTAGTTAGAACGCGGTACTATTTGAATTCGTACGAAACATTGTTGCGATTCTCTATAAAATAAACCATTTTGTAATAAACAGTGAAAAATGATTGAAGAGACAAAGACATAAATCCGAGAGTTTAATAGTTAGCGTCATTGGTATAGTAAGCAAATATCTCATGGGACCAGCTTTCATCACGTATTGCTATTGGTTGTTATCATACTGACCTCTAACAGGTGCTTTTAGCAGAAGATCAGCAAGCTGCCTTAAAGTCCTGAGTAGATTAAAGGACTAGACGTTGTGTTAGGTCTATTTAAAGCCGCCATCGTTACATTGATCACCTTCCAGTTTAAGGCAACCCAATAGTTCCCGTACGACAGGTCCATCAATCGCAACAAAATCAGTCTCTCATGTTTAAGGTCATATAATACAGGCCAATAGAATTTCCATATGGAAGTTGACAATAGTATTTCGCGTATGTTTTTAACTAGCGATGGGGTTAAACACAGTGTTTGGAAAAACGATAGCTGTAAATTAGGAGTTTTCAGTTGACATCGGTTTCAATTTAACTTCGTCGTTTGTTTTCGTCTAGCGTCCAAAAGGAGACCGCACTCGCTTTTTTTTTTTTTAAATAATTTCTGAATAAAGAACGCAATATTGAAGCATAGACTTTTTGCCATGTACGCAGGGAAAAACCATTCAACAGTGCTGTTTGTTGGCAGTATTTATTGCATTTCCTGCTTTGTGATGCTAAAACAACTTGAATGAAAAATTTGAAGCACAATGAAGAAAGTCTTGTACTAAGTTATTCCTTTTATTTCGGAAATAATACATATTATGTAGTCGCTGCAAAGCCTCGTGGCATTTACTACTATTATAGGTAGAAAGCCGTCGACGGTAGTATTATTTTTACGTAGATATATTATAGGTGGGAGTGGAAAAGTTCTTCCTGAAAGTCTATCTCAGATATTGTAAGGTAGAAATCGCATAATTTTCGCTACCTACTAAAAGTACTACCACTATAACTGTACAAGATGACTGTTGTTGCACCCATTGAAAGAGACGGAAACAATTAAATATGTTATTACAGGTACGACACTAAATCTATAATAATGATAATGTTATACAAATGTGATATATGATGTACATAAATAGCTTGGTAAGTTACAACAACTTGATACTGGGTAACTATTATTCGTTGAAAAGAATACACAAAACAACAACAACAACAGAACTCCAGAACAACAGAACTCTCAATATATATATATATATATATATATATATAAACCCAGTTAACTTTCGTCATAAATGATCGGTTGTTGTTCTTGGCTAAAATTGAAGAACTTAACAGCTAGACCCGAAAACAAAAGGTAACTGCGATTATATAATTAGATGTGCCCAAATTCTCTATCTATCTATCTATATATATAGATCTGAAAGGGAAGCCACACTCAAAACATGTACTGATACTCTGCATTTCATATGATGTTGAACAGTCGACAATAGAAACTAAAAAAAAGGAATTATAGAGGAAAATGAGAGAGAAATAATGATAATAATAATAGTAACAACAGTATGTCATGTTATAACATATGTATTGTTAATTTGTACTCAACAGTAGGTAAATAAAGGATTAAGTATTTTGGTCTTACTTTAAATATTTTATGTTTTATATGAATTATCTTGCATATAGGGTGACCGAGGCAGCATTGATAGGTGAAGGTTACTTTTACACCTGGTGCCTTATTGACCAGCTACATATAGCTAGAGCTTACGGACCCCCCAGGGACAAAGGCAGTGTCAAAATATACACGACGAAAGCAGAATTTGCCCGTCGACCATTTTTTTTTACCGGAGTGATTATTCCTGCAGAGTTAGGGTTTATATTCAGTGTCACTTGTTGTCGATATCCATACCCACGTAGCTTTTGTTTAGAACGATTTCTTGGGGCGTCGCTGGCGAGCCCTGAATTGGAATGAAAGAAGTATGCTTTCAGCGATTGCCGTTTGTCAATGACAGCTACGAAGTAAGTGTAGACCTTAGTAGCATGTTAGGAAAGGATGTGATGAGTTAAGCGGTAAATGCCACTTTCTCCTAAATCTCATCTTATCAAAATAGCCCTTCACGTTCTCTCGTTGGAGATTGTATCATTCGAGCAGACTGCCCACTCAGCCGTATTTTTTTTTCCTTTCTATACGCATCTTCTTATCCTTTCTCTTTTTTCTTTCTACGCGCTTTTGTTCTATTGAGTTGAGAGCTCGTGTGACCTACAACGGCTACGGCGCTATCTCTAGTTCTGGAGCGGCTCTGTTTGTTTTTTACCTTTAGCAATGCTGAAGCAGCCCAATTTCAGGGGTAGTGAGGTAAAAAAAGATCTCCGCAGCTTTCTAATGAAAGTAAAAAAAAATTCTAGAATGAAAATAATACAACTAGATTTCTTCTGATTCACCATTAAAAGTTTTAACATAAAACTTAGGCTAACAATTTTAATATGCGGCACATTTCAACAAATACGGATTTCTTGCATAAACGATATGTTTGTTACCTGCATGTGATATCTCAAAGAGCCTAATTATTTTCAAACCAAATCAAAGTTACTATAGCCAATACTTCCAAACGTCATCTGTTCATTTTTATTATATACATTACATGCTGCATAATCATGGACAACGTCCCGGATTTCGTTGCTGAGCAGACATATTTCTTTGAAAACGCATTATAAAACAAATAAATCAAGGGTCGTAGCGACTCCAAAGCAAGGGGCAAACGGGTGATTCTTCTTGTCCATAAGCTACGTAGCGTGTCATTTTTAAATTTTTGCTGCTTGTGGGGGGGCTTACCAATAAAAACGTTTTTTCAGTACAATTAACAGTACAGCAAACAACTGATTCGAGCGTTCCTACGTAACATGTAATCATTGTGATACAAGCGGCACGTAACTAAGTGCACCTTTAACGCTGAATAATGAAATGTAATAGAACAGAAAAAATAACATTTACAACATTCAGCCTTAGTCAAATGTTACCGTCGTTAGTTAATAATGCATCGTTCGGTTTCCTTGAGTTAGACAAGCACATAGTTGATTGAGCCGGCTAAAAAAAATGTAGACATTTTTCGCACAGAAAAAATCTATTCCAGTAGATTTCCCTGCACCGATCGCCTGCCTAGCTGCCCATATATTTGCTCTTCCGTGTTGAATGGCAGACGTCGGTGGGCCCTGCAAAAACCTAGTGGCGGCCCTAGTTGCGGTAAAGGCGACGTAAAAACGGCCAACCAACGATAGCCGTCGTTCGCAGTGGCAAGACGACAGCCGTTGTCAGTAGTTCCATCAGCAGTAATGCTTTAGACGTCGCAGACTACGGGGTCATTCTCCACGCCGGGCTAAATTCCTATTAGGAGTGACAGTGCTGGCACGATGTAACGATTAGTCGCATTCCGACCAACATCTGGAATAACCGGAGACTCTAGCGCATCATATCGGTGAGATCTACAATGGCATTTGTTTCGTTGGGGTATCAAGCCGGTTCCTCTGAACCTTGTTTGCGGACCCTCCGCAACGAGTGACACCAATCGCGTGCACACGAATACATTGTTTTTACATTGATAATTACGCCCAATAGATATATAAATAAGGGGTGAGTGCCTTTATGTAGAGGCAAAGGTTCATCACACGCTTCATGCTAACAATAGAAGTTGCAAGCCTTTCAAGGCTTGCTTCCTTTTGTCGAAAGGCAGATTTTATTTTTCTACCCGTGCAGTAGCTTGGTCGACTGTGGTTGTGATGCGATACGTGCGTATGTCAAGCTTTGATCTGTATCTGACTTCGTTGAGTTCCACGAGTTTTCGAATTAAAAATCAATCTGCCATTGTCGGAGAAGTGCAGTGTGCTTAGTTAGCTTTTAAGTGAACACTACTGTTACCATTGCTCATAAATCTATACGAATCGTGATATGTTTAAAAAAAAGAAAGCGCAAAAGGGACGCTATCAGTGACGATCAAATTCACGCAACGGTGGATTAGCCCAGGTGGCTACAATTTACGCTGTATTTTAGTGAAGGCCTGCCAAGTTGCACGGATTTTGAGGTAAGCCTCATCGTCCTTTGCTAGAGTTGGGCAAAAGCTGGAAATCGAAAAGCTGCTGTCTAGCTAATACCACACGTTTAAAAGATATAGTGCATGGTTTTTAATGATAAATTTCTCCAGAACTCAAACCTCCTTGCTTTCCGTTTTCGGATAGATTTGCACACTACGAAGCATAATATTTGTCAATAGCCTTAGTTTGTAGACAAAGCTTATATCGGTTCATGTCAAATATTGTTATATTCAGATTTCACCAGGCTATGCTTGCTAATTAAGCTTGAAAAATAGTTCCTTGTTTTTCCGCAAGTGTCAGCGGATCTCGATTTTTGCTGTTGGCGGTATTCAACGAACTGTAATCATAACATGTATAATGAAAAGGCGACTATCGAGTTTGGCTTGTTCACTACGTCTCAATGGGGTGCTCTGTTTATCTCAACAAATTTCCTTCGGTCGGCCTAGAGATTGCAAATTACGTAGGGGAGAAAGAGGTCCCATTGGCGCCAAACCGGCTACTGCGTCTGTCGCCCTGTTGCCAATGGCAAACTTTAGCAAAATCTACAAAAAGGCCAAAGCTAACTACCTGTACACATATGCCTGTTACCTCCACACGATAGACATGTCGTTAGATCGGTACGGTCTATCATAGAACGTTCTAATAATTCTAGCGACAGTTTGCAGTATCTTCTGCTCAACGTTGTAGTGAAATTCATAGCAAACAGCTTAAGTTTGTGTTTTGGCCTGGTTTTACATAGTATATGGCAAGAAAATGTCAGGAGTGACAAAATTGTCACTTGATGTTCGAACAAGGAAAAAAAGACACGTTCTAAAGCTGTTTTGAAAAAAGCAAAAGTAACAAATAGCGTCAAACAATCTCTATGCATTGAGTTTCGATTTGTTTAGTAGGCCTTTTCCCGTTTAAGCCTATCTTATCGGCCTTTTTTCATGTTGACTCATTAACTTCCTAGATTCAACAATTTCATCAATTTTATGAAGCAAAACAAAATGCAGGATTAAATGGATATTCTATAACGGGGTTCTATCAGAAAAGTACATCTGCTTATTTGGCGCTTGTTCGTTATCATTCATAGGTTGTCCTATTATTAGGCTTTGGTAGTAATGTGATGGTCTGTCTGTTCTACCACATCTGCGTTCCCAACAGTTTTCGTATGATCATTCCGGATTTCATTATTGGTTTGCACTACGCCTACCGGTGCTGTTACTAATAGACAACGTAGAGGAGCCCGTGTTACCTACATCGATGTCAAACATAGCATAGACAGGTAGACAGACACATAAACACGACAGAGCGGAATGCTTTCTTTGTTTAATTTTCATCAAGACTATTAATATTCATATTATAGGTATTTATTACCTATTATCGGTAAAGGCATCGTTGGCCGATCGCATTGTCCTTTTCTTCCATTTTTCCTCTATCCGCTCAGGGCCGGGTTCCCTTTTTATTCTAGTCTTTTTTCCTTTTGCTCTTCACTCAGCTACGGCTAGAGCGATTAAAGCTGTCGATTTGTATCGCTAACAATATACGTTAACTCCATTATTAGGTATCGATGGAAGAGCCGTAACGTAACAACAGTGGGCGCCAGGCTTAGAATTGAAAGGGAACCAACCTGATTACGTCGCGAATCGAGAAAGACGCGTATTTGCTAATTGTACCGGGTGACAGCAAAATTGGCTTATGGTACTTTTTCCTATTCAGCTATATCTAGATTGTGCTTATAATAGTACTAAGCAGCCAATAAACCATTGAGGGCCGTCATGATGTTGGCAGCCGGTTCATGCTAGGCGTTAGAGCGGATCTTTTATCATAGAATAGTAGAAAGTCTCTGAAGTTGACGACGAGTGAATCTTCGCAAATATATGAGACAATTTGAATCATAAAAGGTTTCAACTCGATACATTCCGTTTGAGAAGTTACGTAATCCTAAAGCCAATGCCTCAACAAGAAATTTGAGGTCATCAAAGTTGCGTTCTACCGTTCCTTAGCTTTGAATATCCGCTTTCAATATCGCAACAACATCTTCAGGGCTATTCGTCGAGTGCAATCAAGCTACTCAAAATAATTATTTAGCATGAAACTGAATAATATACCTGTTTTAATATCTTACCATGATAATAATCGTCCGCTATCGTAGGCCGCCGACGATATCATGGAACACTTAGACTTCACGTTTATTTACATACTCGATGTTTCATTTTCGTCTGCTATGTTCTACCATCGTTCTTTATCGAGCTTGTCCCGTTCCTCGTCGGCCTGAAAACAGGCTTTTGTGGTCTTCAAGTTTCTTCCTATTCCAAAGGTGGGTCAGCACCCATTTCTAACATGGTTAATGCGATTTGGCTCCTACGTAGCGTAGGATAGTGTAGTGCACCGAGGTGCCTTTTCTGTTCTTAGAGCGCAAGCCAAAGGAAAACCCACTTACGACTCACGTGTGAGTGCGAAGATAATCTTCTAATTTTCGATGCTAAAATCGCCGGATTCACGAGTTGTACTTTTCGGCTTTTTTTCCACTGAGTACTTACTATGGTTGTTCAGAGTCCACCATAGCACTGCCGTGGTAGTACTTCACGCAAAAAAAAACTGCGTAACAATTTGGAATTAGTAGAATCTTTCAAAAAAAATATAGGACATTGCGATAGGATTATTTAATTCTACTTTTTAGAACAAATATTCCACTTGTACTATATTAGAACATATATATATATATATATATATATATATGTTACTTCTATGCTACTAAGTTGATGAACGCGCATGTTGCTTGTCTGTAGAGTCGTTTGCATCCTTCAGTTGTTCGAAAGGTGCATGTATATAATGTATAAGAACCAGAAAAAGAGAAGGACATGTACTCTGTGTTTGGGGCAGTTGTTCCATAAGTGTTAGCTTATTAAATATAGACGTGCATCTATGTGTATAGATTGTTCTGTCAGGGTCTAGTTTATCAGGTCATCATGTTTGAAGATTATTGCAGTACGAATAAGCAAGGAAACACCTCCTACAATATATGAGAAAAAGCGGGCTGTTGTTCTAGTGACATCTGATAATATTACCATTGTTATGGAGACCTGTTAAGATTGTTACTAGAAAGCTCATGCAAGCTGGAAGCCCTCACGTTTTTACTAATTCTATCCTATATTTTCAGTGTCGTATTCAGGGCCGTTTGGATATCATTGGTTTTTATTTGAATGGTAGATGGTAGCTTAATTACTTATTTCGGAAGTAGGCAATGTGTTTGCGAGGTAATGAAAATGTTTACGGGCTAAGAGGTCAAATGCACGGGAAGCGCTGACGTTTGCATCCTCGAGAACCGTTGTGGTAATTCAAATGTGACGAAGCGTATTATTTCAATGTGTGAATTTACAAAAGATAATCAGCTTTTGAGGTCACTCTTATAGCCACTTGTGTACGCGACGCCACATAGAAGTGGGCATACAAGGGTCACATCCGTTTTTCGGTCCACTGAGCGCGCCTCTCACCCCAGTACCGATAGTTCTGGAGTACGCCGTCGTTTGTGTGGCAATACTGGGTCGCCAAATGGGCGCCATCACGCCTCACACCCTCAGGTGTCATAGAACCTACAGAATGTCACGCTACTACAATTTTTCCTGCAATTTTTAATATCGTCACTAGCTACGTCAGGCTTATATGGCTTCTCTTAATCAAGGCTAATTTAAATACTTCTTTGTCAGAATATAGCTACTTATTAACGTAGAATTATAAAAGATAAGCAGAGCCTTAGCTACCGCATCTGTACAGAATACAAAATTCTATAACATAAAGGAGGTAAGGAAAAGGGATTAATAAAAAAATATCGGTTGACTGTCGGTGTCTCAACTAATTAGAAAAGTTAATATTTTAAAGAGATCCAAATATAGAGTAGCAAGAAAGTCGTGGTTGGTAAGCGTAGCTATGCCATTGCAATGGACACCTATCGTTTGGGATTTGTCATACGCCAATTAGGGGGAATTCACAGAAACAGTTCCTTGTTTTTCTTGTTGTCACAAAACAGAATTTCAGCTTATTGATGTGAGAGATGTCAAGAAAATGATGTCCTGATGTCGAAAATGCCCAACCGAGACCCACCTAGAGATACCTGATCTTGCATACAGTATTATTCTGGAAAAATGATATCCTGCAGCCCGGACATTAAGGGCGTAATATATTATTATGACAGAGAAGAATAATTACTTGTTTGCGAGAGCAAGAAGCTGTAGCGGAGACTAGTCCACCTTAGCTTAGATTACGAAGTGGTAGTTATCAGATGTTTGAATGGAAGCTCATTAACGAGAGGGTCCCAATCTGAATTCGCTTGCATCACGAGTTTACGCAGAAATTACAGATCGGTGTATTCGAATGAAAGATCAGTGATTAATAATGAGTCGGGCTTACGGACTCTATAGTTGTAACTATAATTGCTACTGTTTTAGATATATTCGAAGATAAATTCGACTATCTATAGATTTTAGTTCGTGAAACTGAGAACAAGCCTACCCTTTCCAGATCCAAAGTGACAGCTTTATTTATTTATTTTGGAAAGTATATTGTTGTCTGCAAGTGCTCGGTTGGTAATATCGAGAGAGGCGTTAAGGATCGCCTAATAAGCGGATTTAACTTATACTATAAATAGAACTGGGTCTAAATTTTTTTCGTAACCAAGAGGTTTTGTCAGGCGAAGTTAACTTAAGCCTCCGTCTCTTTAAAATGTGCATGATCAAGCTGTTTTCTTCCACACAATATTATTAATGAAGAAAACCATCATGCTTCTTTGTCATGAGCCTCATACAAAGTAAATCAATAGCCCTGATATTAACGAAAAAAAAAAAAAATACGGAATAGTTTGCCATTTAAGTACATTATTTGGCATTGTTTCTCTCCTACTAGTGTGACACTGAGCGAAATCTATCAAACAGCTATTTCGGACTTTACTTCAGTTTTGCGTCTGTGAGATTCGTTGAGTATTTTCAATAGATAAAAAGCACATCTCATAAAACGCTATCTTGTTACATCGGATCTCCATTTCTATTTTGACATCTGCCCTCATAGGTGACAGTGCCAAAGTTGAGTGCCATAATATTGACTACACCGTTACGGATATACGACAGTAAAACTACCGGCAAATCTACACTCACAACAGACCCTAACAAACGAATTGGCTTTTGCGTTGATTATGGATATCAAAGGCGAACGAGAAAATAGGGTACAATCATAACAAGAACCATTGAATTGAATGGTAAACACCCATGCTAACCAGCTCTAGTACCGTCTACATCTCGTCTGAAGTTTTTTGCATCAGGCTTAAAAGTGGCTCTGACTGGTAAAGATAGATAGGTATAAAAAGAGTTAAAAAACCTAACTTTAGAAATAACCTGAATTTACGTTTTTTATTTAATAACCTATTTTACGTTTACGGGAACATACGTTGTGGTTGAAATGTTACCCATATCGAAAGTCTGTTGATAAGAGCATTCCTTATTTTAGCTGATGAAAGTTATTGCCTTTGGTTGCCTTGGGCTCAATTATATTTCCATGAGTTTTTACTATGTGCCAAACCTACAAAAGGAGGTAAATATTTGAAAAACTTATTAAAATCAATAAATTTATATAGTTGTAGTAAGTAGATCCAATAATGTAACTGGAATTGCTTAGCGTAAAAAATTAGGGACGTGACTCAAAGAATGAATGACCCCATAGGAAGTGTAGAGAAAATGAAGTAAGTTGACGGTCCATTAAATCTGCCAAAAAAAAAGTTTTAATAATGAAGTGTCATTCGAATTGGTACACTTCGTAACCTTTATGAAGTTTAGCAAAATAATCCGAGAAATACTTTCGAATTTAGTTATCCTAAATAATGACTATCAATACGACCGGTCATTGTTTCGTCTGATGTACGGCAGATATACAGACGGCCATTAATTTCCATCATATTACCGCCTTTTCAATAAAAAAAGAAAACTTTTCAATTGCAAGCTATTTCCGGCATGATACTCCAGGTAACTAGGAGTCACTTCTGATCGGTGAGAATAGGGTACGTCTTCAAATGTATTTGTTACAATCCTGTATCATGAGGCTGATCTTTGTGAACTAGCCTATCTTGCTAGTTCCTAGATAATTATCAAATTTGTTCGGTTAGTGTTTTATGTGAAGTAAAACACAAAAATTAGGCCATAATGACCCGAACGTAATCCCCAACGTTGTGACCCAGAAAGGCGTTGTTTATACGAGGCGAAAAAACCAAGCGCGGTAAACGTTCCTGCATCGAAGAGAGGCGTTCGTTGCTGGGGCAAGCAGCGGTAGCACCACCATCGTTTCGCAAGCTTGGCATGCGAGAAATCAGATCACCATTAAAGGAGTTTCTAATCGATACTTGTTTTGTTGGACAGGCAAATAATCCTGCTACATAGCCGATGTCTATCCTTCGGCCATCCGATGACCCCACGTTTGCTGTTCATATTTTCCCGCTCCGCTAGCAGACTGAGAAAGTCCCCATTGAGAAGACGAGATCGAGTATTGCGCGACTACGAACAGAAACGATTCCAGCGTATTCATCGAAATAAAATAAACTTTAGTATGCATCAAAAAGATATCAAACCGATTTTAGTAACAACAAAATAATATAAAGCATAGCCAAGTAGACGAGACCGAAAATTCGAGGAGCAAACCTCTAACAGCGATAGTCAATGTCAGTCGCTAATCGGTTGTCCGGGGTTGGAAGAATTCAGATTACGTACATTAATTAGCTCGTGTTAACTTGGGGTTCATCTACTAACGTGCATCTAAAGCAGTAATAGTCTACATAAACAGACTAAATTAAATGTCAGTAAAGAAAGCACTCACAGAGAACGGAAGATTACGTACCTTGTAAACTTCTGTGTAAATAGCGTGTTTCGTTTTACCTATGAAGCGTAGTAAACACCCTAGCAGTAACGACCGCCAACTCTAATGTCGATTAGCCTTTGTTTCAGTGATCCGTAAGTGGTAAACGCTATTACCATTTCTTTTTCTCGCCTAGAAGAAATCCTGCCCTCTTGTCTCAATGAAAATGATGGCGGTAATCCTTATGACAACGCAGAATCCTGGCGACGCATCGACGGCGTAACGTTTCAAAAGGAACAACAGTTAATGTTGTTCTTGGCAGAGTGACAAGCCGTCGACGCATTAACCGATGGAAGAAAAGCTTACTTACACCTAAAGCCTGTTGTGATTTTTCCTTTTACCTGCGCTTCTCTATGCGCCAGACCTGATTGGGCGATGTTCACTACGGCTAGAGCGTACTGTTTACTTCTGTCGCTGGGAATACTTTAATTTCGTCTCTATCTGCTGATGCTTGGTAAAGTGGTACATTAAGTTAAGACGACTTTTCAAATATCTACTATCCAGCTAGTGGATTAGGTACAGCGCTAGAAACTTGCGCAGTTAACAAACTAACCTCAGGCCGTTCGTATACGTAAATTTATACAGAACTATGCTGTAACCTATTCCGTCTAATATATATATATATATGACAGTAGGTGATTGTTTTATCTAAATGCAGCTGGCTAAACCGTGTAGCAACAAGCAGTAGAAGACGGATTACTGATTACAATATATGATTCTTGGTTCATGGCAAAGTACTTATATCACAAATCACGCCATCTAGCAAATGAGCGAATAATGCGTCATTGCTAGGATAAGATAGCACGCTTTTCATGATCAGGTCTTAGTAGACACTAATTATCGGATCTGTCCTTTGGGAACCGCAGTCCTATCATTGAATCGTTCTAAATATAGAACACCACAATTGTCAAAACAAGCATTGTTAACAACGAAATTAAATACTACTTCTACTACTACTGTTTTCTGGAGAAGAATGATTATCTATAGACAAGCTGTTTGTTTTAATAACACCGTCTTGGTGGCCAATTCCACGGCTGTAGCGTCGCGCACGTCTCCGCAAAGGCTCTGCATTCCACGACACATACACAAAATAATTTTCCGGTTAAAACAATTTGCGCTCAAGGATGGCTTGTAGGCCGACAAAACCATTTTTTTTTCGGGCTTCAATAAAAAAAAATTAATGCTACTGTTAAAACGTATAAAACAGTCCTGAGCCCACTACTCCAACAAAAAGTTCTACGGACCATTTTGTCTGCTAGTGATATCATTTTTACGTACTTGATTTGCTAGCATGACGGCTTGTGATAGCTAAATGTAAAGATTTCGGCATTGCTAGTAATGCACTCGTAGGATACCTACTTTGAGGTCAAATCATCATTACGTCTATTGTCTCATAGTATGGCCTAAGATCGCTAACTCATTGAAGACCGTTCTATTAGGAACAGAATATAAGATCAAGCTGATTGTTTGAACTGTCCTAATATAGTCTCCAAACTTTGAGGCGATTTGACGAAGCAGATTTTAGGCCACGAAAATAAAATATCAGGAACCGTAAGGCGATCGTTTTCTACATTCTGGAATATACACGAAATGAAAGCGACTCAGACTTTTATATTTTTAACTTTTCTCAGAGTGATTGTAGGCTGTTGAAATGAATAGTATTATCGCCGAAGTCGTCTCTTTACCAACACATAATATATAAGCTTTGTATTCAGTTATTCTTGGAGTTCTTAACAGTCAACGGTCCGATCTAGGTTACGCAGTATCGCGGCTGTACGTGCCTCCATTCTTATAGTTGGCCTAATCCATCAGGCACAGCAATGTTGAACGTTATACAGTCTATCAGGGCTAATGTTAACATACGTCCCGCGTAGAAATTCATTCGTGTATCTTTCAACAGAAATGAGATTTTTTTACTTTCATATAACTTTTATGCCAAGAAGCTGTTCCAGACCACTCCTGACATGACAAAGATATTATGGAACTGATCTCGGTGCGGGATTCGGACTGAGCAATATACATTTGCCAGTTTCCACCTATACGACACCTGTTACAATTATAGGATACCGGTTTTACTATAAGTAATATTCCAAATAATATGTGCTTACCACGACTAGCCATATAAACACTCCCGGGTTATTATGTTACTGTCAGATGGACGACATGTTAATAAGCTATCAGAAAGAAAAGGAAAGCTGTGGCAAATTATACGCTACAAATAAATGCGTCTATGAAACAATAACTAGAGCTATATTCACAACCAAAAACGCAAATATTTTCGGCTTTGTATCTTCTGAACCCTTTTTATTTGGGTTTAAGGTCTGTAGCATCAAGTGTACCGCGTATTTATTTCAAATTAAACTAAAATATACTCAGACATCTTGAAGCTAATAGGTGCGATGCTGAACTATTTCTGCTTCGCTGAGCGTATGTGCATGCTCTATCGGGATCGCTCGTATCGTCTATTTCGGAGGATAACGTGGCATCCGTCATGGCGAAGATCGATATGTTACGCGTACTTACGTTCGTATCGCGTATACGCATCGGTTACAGGCAATGGGAACATCATCAAGTAGATCAAAGAAGGACAACGAGAAAGAGTGTATTTCATCGGAACATGGGCGACTCGGCTGGACGGAATTGGTTACAAGGTGAGAAAAACATTAATTACCGTAAGCCCTAAGTACCAATAATGATGAAAATATATAGATATTGTAAGGTTAGTCTCGTAACGTCTAAATAAAAATATTTTTATGTTCTATCAGGGTTAATTAGAAGCTTTAAGGGGTTGCACAGTACCAATTATTTAAACACACCCTAAAGGTTTTCTTCTAATACATATTTTAATCGAATATATTCAGCTTGGTTCGTTTGTAAGAAAGAGACAATCTGGTGAAAACCTCTTGTCCACCGATGATAGCAAATAATGGTCCTGCAAAATGGCCTATTCAGTGGGCCGTCGCAAAAATACAACGTAGCCATAATTATGGAATTTTCTTTAACTACGATGGACAGTGAAGTTTTGTCGATTAAGTTGATGTTGGATGTTGTGCCGTTTTTACCTTAGTTAATAAATCACCCAATTATTTAATGAAGAAGTTGCCTCGTTCAAAAACCCATTAGGCGTTTCCCGAATGCTTTATTATTACTGAACCATCGTTTCAATTGGAAAATGAGCCGAGATATCTAAGGTGCACTCTCTTTAGCAGTATAATAGGTATCGATTGTGTAAATTTGATTCAGGAATAGTTGAATCGATGGAGTCCTAAGGAGTGCTGACTGAAATCATTAAATATGGACAGAACATTGGACGTACCGTCTCAAGGATGTTACAAAATATTGGCGTATCTGATTTTATTTTGTGAAGCACAAATCTTACGACACGCATTCCACCAGTAGGATCCAGCAACAATCGTTGAGTTTGTCTAATAAAACGCATATGGTCGGCTACAAAGATGTCAGAGGGCATGAACATGGTAAAGCATGTGGAAGGATTCAGCTTTGATGGTTTGGTATTTCTTAAACGTCTGTTATTATATCTGGGTCGTAGTGCTCATATTTGCTGGATTTGTAGAATGCTACTGACTAAAAAGTAAACGAAACAGCAGCTTGTGCTTCTAGTCCTTCAGAGCATGTAGAACTTTACCGATAGTTCCTGCACCTGTAGGTAGGTGAAAATAAACTGATTTATACATATAAATCAGTTTATTTTCAGTGTATATATATAGAACATTCAACAGTAAAATTATAGTAATTACCATATACAAACTAGAGCTTCTAAGTGTTATTCGACGTAAAGGTCGGTTTATCCGCCTATTTTGAGTATTTACTTATTTTTTATAAAACAATTTAGAGATGTAGAACTATTCGAGATTAGAAGATATCTGTACGCTGTACAATATAACGGTTATGCTTATACAAGCCATACGTTCCAGTATCGTTTCATGTTTCCAACGATGTTTCATAAAAATTATTATTTCAAAAATGATGAAATGATTGTTTAATAAAACACAATAAGAGCTGACTACCTCAGACCGTTACCTCGCTTTTATAAAGATAATTGGATTTATAAATCTGGATTTACATATATCTAAAAACATATAATGATAATAAAGTCCACAACGTTGCGTGTTTAGGCCCTGCACTAAAGTTATATAATCAGGTTCTCAGTAGCAGGACAATTCTTCAATTCAAGGCAGGCAACTTTATTAGGACATACTATATTACTAATTAGGAGCATACAATGCGGAAAATGTAAGATAACATTCCTTGGATGAGCAATAAGGCCCGTTTCATTAAAAAAAATAATTTGTTTATCACTATTTCAAAACAGCTCAGCAATAAATAACCGTAAAAAGTTAAATAAGTGCATCTACTTTTCAAACTACAAATTAATAAAGAATAAGCTACCTAGAATTGGATAAGAGAAAGTAGGTTACGACCTGCTACGACCAACATTTGCTTAACGCTACCTTTGAAAGCAAGCCCTGACACAAAGACAAAACGTTATACCCGTACATTTGCCAAAAATTGCTCTATTTAGCGGCCTACATGAACTTACTACAGTTAATATATTATTGGAAAAAAATACCAATTTAAGACGGATATATCATTGGCTCATATAACCTTATTTATTGGGTATATATAATCTAGGGTCGGTAATGATTTTGTGCGATGGACTTGGTCATTCAGAGGATTATTTTTATTATGAACACTTATTTCACTTTCGCTAGAAAACACGACGCTTTATCATTAAAGCTAGTCAAAAATTATGATTTGTCTATCACAGGTATATAAATTTCTGCTGCGCAGCGGTAGACCAAAAGTTAGCGAGTAGTGGCACATACAGGAGTTGTATTTTATTCGAGAAAAAAGGAGCGACAATAGGAACTGGTACGGGCCGACTGGAGTGTGTCAATTTGACCGCACTGAAGCCTGTATAATTATTATGATTATGCATAATTATACGATGACTAATTATCTATAGAAAATTCTGATCCATGATCGTGATGATTTGCAATGTGATGCATAGTGTCCTATCTAGACGAAGCTTTAAAAACGATTCTTGTTAGCTTTGTTAGTATCCCAGGTATCTATGGAGCTGTAAGGATGCTTGCGACGCACTAGTCGAATTGAACTAACTTCAGGAACAGGCACCCATTGCAACGAGAAATTGAGTTTAATGCTTGATCGGATTACGTGGCCGAAACGCTGCTCAGACCCTATAATCTAATGGCTGATTGCGACACGACCAATTTCCCTATGTCACTTAAATATTTGAAATATAAGTACTTTTTGTTAGTCGGACAATAGTGGCAAATCGCTTTACGATATCTATGCGCGCTTAAGGGGGGTAAGTCAGGATACTGTCCTGACCTATGTTTAGTTAAATCTAAAATCTCTTAACACATAAAGAATTATAAATCCATCATGTAGAAATTAATCTCGAACTAGTGTCCATGAAATACTGTCATACTTTCAACAAGAAGGATAATTAGAAATCCTTAGTTTATTGGTGTTCCAGCTACTACTTACGTTCACCAGCCTATGCCTATGCCCGTTTTCTTCTTTCTGTAGCCTTTCAGCTCTCACAATGGGGCTCCGACACGATGACCCCGCGTTATTGCATTGTTATGAAAATTAACCTATACATTGATCTAAGGTAAACTTCGCTCGATCAGCATCTTCTTGATATTGCCCTAAGAAGAGCACTGCCACACGTCAACGCCTGTCCTCATCAAAGATATTTATCATATTTGAGCCTTGAGTAGTACTGCGCCCAATGAAGCGTCTCGATTTGTATATGCTCGTATCAACAATGAAGCTCAGGAACAACCTAACAGGACAGTTCGTAAAGGACATTCAGTCTTGTGTATAAGTATTGTCGGGTTTTACTATACGAAACAGGCGGTATGGAAAATTCGAAGAGTTAAACGCAAAAGACATGCAATCTACTTCCACGCTTACTGAAAGAAGGCAGCAACATTGATGTTCTGTTTACTAGTAGGTATCAAGAATGAATAATAATTATTTATTAAAACTTTAGACAGTTGAAAGCGATAGTGCACTTTAATATGAGCAACACTGAAAACCAGGCGTAAGTTTTCTCGCCTCTGTCCGACGCGCTGTGTTAAAGACTCGACGACTTGGTAAAGCATCAAGAATTATTACAAGAACAATGGATCTAATGAAATAAAGACCTTCGCTTCCATACGATTTTCCTTCAGCACTTATGAGGAGAAAGGTATGCTAGGCCACGAGAGAGCTTTGCTCTGCCTATTATATTTTACGTGTCAAACCTCTCCGCATTTTTGGCCAACTAGCAAACGTGTTACAAGGACAATTTGCATTGGCCTTATCGTTCACTGTCTTCGAGGATTGGACTACTAACCTCCGAAATGTATGATCTAAATCGCCTCCATAACGACGTACGAAAGCCAGCTAAACGTTATCTGTAGCGTCTTCTAAGCCCGCCTGTCTCGAACATATATTCGACAACGTGTTGGTCTTCACGTAGCACTATGTACAAACATGTTAATAATATATTGGCAGTACAAGAATTCGCGTACTTCTGGCACTGCTATCGCCCAGCACAGCCATTCATATCAGACATTCAATAAGAACGTCACAGGACATCATCATCTCAATGCCTATACAGTTGTGGGTATTGCGACCATAACTGATAGCCGTCAACTGACGGAAGACGAATTGGCTAGGGTGTGTTTCCTACATAGGGACAGAATAACGAGCTACTCCATTTTCGTCCTAAGAGGTAGTGCACTGGTGTCACAAGAGGTCTGGCCTCGTATCCTTGGGAGACAAGAAACGACCCTTTAGAATGATATGTGCCAGATTTTCCTTGGATCTCTCATAGGAGAAACTCTTAGCTACGTTCTTTAGCCGTTACTTAGACATCCTCAGAAATGGCCAACTACACGGTGAACGTGAAGTGAGAAAATGTTTGGTTCACATGAATCAACAAAGAAACACAGCCAGTTCGGGAGACGTCCAGGCCATAAGCCCTGCTTCGAAATGCGGACCAATCTTAGTAAAAAGTATACAGGTTTACTGACGCAAATACATTGAAACCTCGCTTAAATACAGTACGCCTTGCAAAGCTCGGGTCCCATCTGTAAAACATGTTCATTTTAGATCGGTACCTTGAATATGATGGACGCCACACAGTTGGGCTGCGTAAAAGTTCTTCTACTTTATATGCTGCAACCTCACACACAAAAGAGCTCAAACTGAAGGGCAAAAAGGCATGGGGCTAAAACAGGTGACAGGGAGGGTTGAGCTGTGACGAGTAAACAAGCAATAATCCTTCCAATCCTGCAATACTTTTCGAGTACAAAGCATTGCCGATATTCTGACTGTCACCTGTGAGCGCATTGCAATCTACTGAATGTCGCGTTTAATAATTCGCGGGCATCTCGGCCCCCACATGTTGTACTATAAGCTATCGAACGACTTTGCTACACAACTACTAACGCATAATTTGCCTGATAATCAAGGTCTCTGAAAAATAAAACAAGACAAATATTGCTCGATATGCTATTCATTGTTAGTATATGCTTTTCAGCTTCAACTCAATAGGTTTTCTTATTCTTGTAAGCCTCTTAATGTAGCTGACCATACCTTCTCAAACTTTCAAGTTTAGCAGTTTTAATGTTCAGTAAAATGAAATTAAAATTCCTCGCAAACTTTAGACCTGTAGTGATCTAATTTTGATTTCTCATAGAAATAATGCGATATAGCTCAGCTAACGATCCAATTAAACCAGGATTAAAATGATGTAAAACCAGGACATTTCGAGTCTAGAACCCAATACCACAACAGAAAAGCGCAGACGTATGAATTTAGCTATGGATTCGTTGCTTGTTGCTTCTTTCAGTGTTAATTTCTAGAAAGTATTGCATAGCGAACGGTAAGGCATGACAATTTATATTCATGACAAACTTAAGTATTTCGAATATAATGGGCGTTTTTCTCAATTCATGTAACAGTATTAACGTATATAACATATGACGATGTCGTTAATCTTTAATGTTGGTATCAATTGCCAAACATCTATGGGTTCGAAAGCACGCGTAAATATATGCTGGTTGGGTGCCGAAGTTCATGAACCTAACGAAGTAGCAGCGCTTAGTGATAGTGGGCACAGTGGAAGTTAAAACTTACGTAAGTGTGCCTATAGGAATGCCTCAATGTAAGTCGGCCGATCCCATACGTTATATAACTCGACAGCTATTATTCATTTCAGCACGTCAAGTAGGGTTTTAAGGGAATTTCCAGATTGTCGCAAACCAGAAAACAGCCCTGCGTCTTGCTATACGCTGGAACGGCAAACCGAGTGAGTGCCCAACCATTTCGCGCTACTCCTTAATAGGAGTGATCTCTTTAATCCTGTTATAATTACATAGAAATTGCCTTCTAAAATTCAACATAGCTTTTATATATTTTATCTTATTTAAAATGCATAGTACGATTCTACATAAGCCTGTTAGTTATGAGACATATTTAACAATATCTTTCAGCCTAGTTATAAAAACATGGCACGATTTGTAAAATATATTATTTTAGAGCTTAGGAGGCCTACGTAGTTTTTCAGACCCAATCTTATGAGAGGTCATGCGGAATGATACGTAGCTTAACTTTTCAGACTTAGTCGTAAACATGGTTAGTCAAAATCATCTGCCTTTACAATGATCTACAGTGGCCGTTTCTTTATGTGGGATGATAGATATTAGTTCAGGAGTAAATATTTGACGTCGGGATACGAAAAGTTCACAGAAGTTGATAGAAGTTTTCGTTAAATGTAGCAATTTAATTCTTGCGACTTGCTTGGCCCCTGATTATACAAAATTTCGACTAAAATAGTACGCCGATACGACATAGTAGCCTGGGATAAATTATACACTGTATGGGGAAAAAGGAATTCTGTAAATAACGGCGATCTTTCTGTTGTATAAAGACCGATATCTGTCGCTGATGCACGGCGTTCTCTATTTGCACAGTTTCTGAGATATAATGTCAAAGCTTCTGTTACAGATGGTCCCAACCGTATCCGACACATTTAATTACGGCTTCAAACATAATTCAGAACTTCCCTCAAATAACCTAATTTACTAACATTTTCAAGTTTGTTAAAGAAAAGGCTACAAAATACTTCGTAAAAGTTGACAACTAAGTTGGGCTCTCTTTTTATTTACCTAATACATAATAGGTTAACGATCTAATGCGCGTTGATTTGTTTCATTGAATGAATAGTGACCCAGATTCACCAGTCACGTTCCTGAGTATAGCGTTTGAGGAATTAACAAGTCTACCAATCCAAGAGATTCCTGACCAACTTTTCAACACTGTCCAGTCGCTTGATCTCAGTAATAATCGATTCAGGTAACCGGTATATATTTATTCTACCCATATTGTGTAATAATTTTGATAGAAACTCAAATGGATGGGTGTAAAAATTGTACTATAGAGAATCAAATACTGAATGCTCGTCATTACTTTGTATAAGTTAATAACCCTACCTGGTGGACTTAGCTGCATATTAATCATCGACGCCAGTCATTTTCAGTTATTCGAAATCTAGAATTTTAGGAAACTACTTAATCATTGTTTATTTAGCACTTGGTGCGCTACGAACGTGCATAGGACTTTGCCGGTTCATCGGTGCCCGTCACATTAATGTACATCCCACCCAGTACATTAATCAAAACGTATGACCCTAAATTCCCAGAGGAAGAGTCACATAACGTTCCACAGAAATCAATTGATCAGGCTAAATGCCTTCCTAGCCAATGCTTTATCCCGATCAGAATCCCTTGACTTTCAACTGCCAGCACAAAGATCTGTGTTCACCTAAAACATTGAATACTTTATGTGGTGACGCATCGTCGCGTGCGCTAGACGGCCCCTTTATTTTCGTGGATTTGATGTGCGTCGCACTGTTTAATCTGCATAAAAATCAGGCAAAAATACAAAAGCGGATAGTTTATAATAACTTGAACTTAGGTTTCCATAGTGTCAAGTTAAAAGGGGGTGGTGTGATAGAAGTCCTTCCTTTGATTACCGTTAATCGACGTGAATAACTTAATTGGCATAAAAACGTAACAAACACACGGGAAGTGCTATTGGAAAATGATACATACAATGATCCGGCACCCCGTCTCCCTAAGCACAATGGCGTCTAGATGATAATTTACGGACTGCGATTCTTAGCAGAGATGTACAGTTTTTATCGGAGTTCGAGAGCCTCGCATCGGTAAACCTGGATCACAACCGTCTAGAATGTCTAACTGCGTTTCCGCGTCTTCCACGACTACGTTCTCTATCACTTAACTTCAACCGAATCTTGTCACTTCATCCGTTCGTGACATCGCTGGCTACGCAATGCCCCAGACTAATCTTCCTCTCGATGATGGGCAACGAGCTCTGTCCAAACTACCTCAACGGTGGAACCGAGCAGCAAAACGAGCTATATAGGTGTGTTAAAGATCATCAGATATTCTTATATTCTCTCGCTAACTCAATCATGACTGCCTCATAAAGAGAACGCACTGCGAGCAGCTGTATTCACAATTAGGCCTTGGAATACCATGGGAAAAATCTGAAAACATAAATACATTATATTGGTACGTACGTATCGATTGTTTACTGGGTTATTTTTGCATTTTCTGTTCGATGCGGTTAAGCGTCACATATCGCTATAACACAGGTCCCGCTATTTTGTCCGGGTAACGGGGTTTCAGCATGAAAAAGATGTCTCTGACGAAAATATAGCGAATTTTTATTAAAAGCCTTTTGGCAACGTCAAACGGCTGCAGAAACAATATAGAATATAAAAGTATAGAGTTGTTGTCCAAACGCTGATGATTCCATAACATTGAAGGACACGGTCTAACCTAACAACAATTCTCTTATAAATATGGTTCAAAGGAATGCTCGTCGAACTTGAAAAGTTGACGTAAATGCAGTCAGTTATATCAAAAATGAATCTTCTTTCATTTACCAAGCCGTCTTGGGTAACGTTTTTAGTCTAACGGCCTGGTCGGACATTCCACCCCTATTCGGATGGTTTCGGCCGTATTTTGGCTTCTGCAAAAAAGAATAACAATTATCGAGGGAACTGTGTAATCTTTTGCGATACAGCCATCTTCGAAGTCAAAGTAGAATAGTATCAGCTAACGTAAACGACTAACATAGCCTTGTAGAGCAAAGAAGATGAACTTTTTCAGTCGTATGTAGCACCCGATATGAACAAATAAGGAGCTGGACAATGGATAAACACTTCGGTTACTCTTGTGACAATCGAATATATAGAAATGTTAACCTTAACAATCAAAAGACATTGCTGCTTATTGTGCGTGACGTGCGTGAACGATACTTGTCACTATTGAATTTCCATAGGAACTAGTTCTAATTGCTAGCCCACATAGGCGTATAGCGCGAAACACGCAGATAAAACGGCCGCAAACTTCACAACTTGAAAGCTCAATACCATTTCATCAGCAAATACGTTTAAATTTTTGTTGTGCTCAATTGATACTTCTGTCTTCATAAAATACTTCAGAACCGAAAGATATAAGGATGGAAGTCAACGAAGAAGGTGTTTCTCATGACATACGTTCTACGCTATACATCTGAGCGTTGTATCTTTCTACATAGAGAAGATCAAGCTGGTTTTAGTACACACACTTATCGAACACCTATTTCTTTGATTACAGTAAATTCTATCGCGCCTTTTTGTTTTATAGCATCATTCAATGTATAACGAATTATTATGACTAGTTGCGCTCGATTGCAGGTTGTATGTCATCCGTCATTTCCCTAATTTGCGGTACGTGGACGATGGTCCAGTGTCACCTATTGAGCGGGAGCGGGCAATAGCCTCCTCAAACACACACTCGTCACTTTCAGCGCAGCTGGGCCACTCATCGCTTGGGAGCGTCGACGAGGGCATCGACACCGAGTAACAACACGTTAAATGTCGTTTACTAGGGTCGTATTGTTGTTACCACGCGTCACATAACTGCCTTCGACACTGATTGGTCTGCCACCGTAGACAACCTTTTTGTAGAATCACAATGTAGCAATGGCAACACTGCGGAATGCCCTTGATAGGCATATAGGGCTTTGTCTTCTTGGGTGTAAATAGGTTTTATGTATCACCAGGGGCCAACTGCGACCTAACTAGGAACACTTATCTCTGTGCAGTCAAATTCTTAGCTACACCGAATCGTTTACGTGTTTTCGTAGGATCTGAAAAAAGGGCTTCCACAATGTCATCGTAAATTTTGACCAAATTGCACTATAATATTCACTGCTCATTAAATGAACGCCCACGGTCCTGGCGCTCTCTTACACCTGACATAATTATTAGAAATTATTAGGAATGTATTGTACTTAGATTGGGAGTGTCGTACATGGAATATTCATGGGGCTCGTTGCCCTTGTTTCGAGGAGGGAATTTCTTTTAATTATTTGTTTATGTCATCTCGTACAGTACCGACCCATAAAGAACGGATAAAACTACACATTCTTAATAATATTCATAACATAATATGTAACGTTCAATACAAAAATATAACTTACACATATACATACAGATGGTGGCAGTTGATCGTTCGGAATTTTCAAAAATTCTGCAGATCTCGGTTACTCATATATAATAGGCTATCCATATCCGAGACGTTATGTCTCGGAAGTATAGATGTTTTATTCTTCAGGAACAGGTTAACTTGTACGAGTCCGATTGCTTTTTTTTAGCAGCGTCAAGTGCTTTGTCTAACGCCGATGCGTTCGTCAATGCGACACTGACGTCAAATGATTTATGCGCGGTACGGCCCTCGATTAGCAAAATTTAAAATATACTTTAGATCATCTTCTTTTTTTCCATACTGTTGGCGTTACCAATAATGCGAAATCTCCAACGGAAAAACACTAGATGAGACCAATCTGCGTTTGATTGAAATATCTGCAATGCGTTAATGAACCCTGATACTTAACGTGCGAGCCATGGAACTCGTGCTTTTTTCTTAGGGAAAACATGGACGCAAAATGGGCGAGATACTACTCTTTTTTGGTTTTCGCGCCAAGGGACTAAACGAAAGCTACCCAATAAAGAGAACAGTCTCCACAGTTGCAGGGGAACGAAGTGCAGTGCATAAACTCGGTCGAGACTGATAGAACATTGGTTCAAATACCCAGATTTTTGTAGTTAAAAAATAATAACGTCATAGCATTTTATAGCCGTTAGAAAATATAACTGGTAGCTTTAATAACAAAATTTTGAGGAACACCCAACCCACTCAAGTAAAACATTTAGCCATTAATGGATTGAAAATGTGGTAAGCGTTAAGATGAATTGCTGGAAGCACACTTGAAATCAGCAGGATTCTTCGGCGAACTTTCGAGCCTTTATTTTTTAGCCGCATGTCGACGGTTAGAGGCAAAACGAAACATGTCTCACTATACACTATTGGCTGGTCCTTGGACCTAACGGTTTATACCTACATGGTATTTACTATACAGCGAGTAATATATCTGCATATCGGCCCGTGATCAAATCGTATGGACATAGGACCGGAGAGTAGTGAGCAAAAAACGACACCCGCTCTAATTATGTACATTTCGTTTAAAGATTTTGCGTTGTATGAATAAAGTTTTACTGTACAATTTATGTCGTCTTTTAGAAATATGACCAGCTTTTTTTTTATCAACGTGTTAAATCTTTAGAACAAACTATAAACATTGGAAAAAGTTAACGCTCTTATCTAGTGTTTAATTATCAAAGTACTAACTAAGCTTCATGTAACTTCATCAACTGCGGAAGGCTCAATTATCTATGCAAAGTTTCTTTCTTGTTTGAAATAATACAATATTAGAGCACCAATTGAGAAGCTGTAGAAATATAAGCTGATACTAACTGCGTCTAGCAAAGCTGGTTTACCTGCAGTGGAAAGGCTTAGTAATTTCCGTAGTCAGTCGACTTATCCTAGCAACCACAACGTAAGAGCGAGTGGGTATATCAGATATTTTATAAAGATCCGACGCGGTCCGACCGTTGTTACAGGTGTTCTTGCAGGTAAATAGCCATTAAGTAACCTTGCGTAAATTCCTGGATACAAGTTTCTCCATCTTTTCAATATTCAGCATTGAATGAATGTATCTTACCTATCCAAACTACGATATGTGATATTATATTGTGAAAAAAATAGATACGACTTTGCACGATACGAAACGAGCGAAGATAGCAGCAGCATCAAACGTTGCCGGCAAAGCTGAACGTTCAATCAAAGTTTTTCGGGGCGAAATTACCCTGTCCTTTTTCAGGCACTATGTACTATCAAAATGTAAGACTGCCGTTGCCTTCGGTTGTTTCCTGCAGATGTTCCCTGGTACTACCCGAGCAAAATGTCTCACGCCCTTCCCTCTGTTTAGCGTCTATTTAATATAAAGCTACGTGTTATCAAATGATCATAGGCAGAACTTCACTGGTCGCCACGCGTCGACAGCGAGTACGTTTGTAGGCAGATACGTCACGGTATCATGAAAGGAACCGTTTACAAGTAAAAATACATGTGTTTTCAATTAGGCTATCTGGCTAGAGTCCTCCAAAGTGCGATGTGATGGACATGTGATTCCACGGAGGCCATACGCAAGATATCCGTCTCTTAAACGGCTAGAACGAAGCGTCTGTAGTAATCTCTACTGTAATTTTAAAAACAAACACCAAAGTCTTTACTTGGTAGCGCTTTTATTATTGCGTAGCAAAATTAATATAATTATAAACCAGCATAAGGCTAGATAGTAATAAGCCGTTTTTACGTACGTTATAGGCCAAAGTGAAATTTGTTTAGGATTATTCATGAAAAAAATGTCTAATTAGAGGCCCTTCTTGCAGCTTGATTGTCGCTAAGTTGTTGAGGCATACAGACTTGAGGGCCTGATAGGCTAAATTAAAAATGCATCAATGTACATGCATGAACCATTATACATCGATTGTTTCCTCCGCAGAATTAACCTGAGCTGCGTAAGCTCTTATTTACGATTGATTCGAATCACATCGAAGCAGAGAAATACAAGGGAACTAATGGGAAATCGTCTGAAGTTGTGGAACGTATCTGGCATAGTAGATACTCATGTTGGAAGCATTTCAAGGCATAGAATGTTGGCGACTGTTTCGTAACAAATTATCAACTTTAAATACTTATATATCAATAAATAACTACAGTATACACGCTGTCCATTCGTGTACATAATACAGTATGAAAAATCGCGCCGACGGGCACTTTAAAGTAAAAAGGTGATCTCCGACTCCAGTGGCAACCTAATTATTCAATAAAATAATTAGAACGATTTTACTGCAATCCTGGTTGAAGATTGTTTGAAGAGTTCGAAGAGCGAAGAATGATTCCAGTAAAATGTAATCTGCAAACACCAATGGGAGAACCGATTCTGCAGTGTCCTGTAGATAGGTAAGCTGCAGGCTTCTCTTTTTTTTCTTGTTCAAAGAGGAAAACAATGAATAACGAAACTCTGGAGCATCAAAGCCCCATGCAAAGCTTGCCTTGCGTGTCCCCATGATAGCTTAATAGGAAACGTGTTTGCTTTTTGCTAATCTTAGGAATACGTTGTGGTGTAGGTGCGAACCGGACATGGCCATATTCCTTTCGTCAGCCGTCTGATGGAACATCTAATGGCAATACTGGACGTAAAGTCAGAAACATGGAGGCTGGTCTGGCGTTACACAACACGTAATTTAATGACGTATTGTTTTTCTACGCTTCGCTTTGCTTGTAAGCCTCCTAGAAGACAGCAACTCGTTCTTCCGTTAGAGACATTGAGACGCTCCTACTTTCGCTATGTCATATCAGTAACAAACGGCTATTCTGTTAAAGGATTTTCCAATATCTTCGCCAGTCTTTGATGAAGCCTACCAGCGTTGTCATCTTCGAGATACTAACCTAATGAGAACAGTAATTTAAAAACTTTCTATCACTAAGCGATATCCTTGCTTCCAAGCACACTGATGACACCCAATGAGATTGTAACCCTAGATACCCAAAGGCGAGGCTGACATATTTACCACATTTAGCCTGCTAATTGGACACTTATTATTTATTAAAATTATAATTATTAAAATGATCGGTCCCCTCCAAAACGTCATAGTGGAAACGATCTATACGCCGGTATAAATAGGCTTATCGGAAGCTTAAGTAAGTAATTTTAAGTTGCGTCTTGAATGTTTTAAAAACCAGTAAAAAAACAGCTTCTTTAACAAGCGAGCGGTGTTTTGATATTCACGATGAAACGTGACAATATGATGATAACAAATTATCATTGGCTATAGAAAATAGCTTTTAGGCCAATTTAGAACTGATGGTGCACGTCGTGTTTGAATTCGAAGAAAATCGATAAGTGAGTAAAAAAAAACTAGTAAACTGAAGTTACGTGTTCGCTTAAAGCTTAAACTAATGCTAAACAATATAATTAGCTTGTGTGACACTTTCATAAATCTTACGACACTAATATGCTTCTTTTTTTGTTTAGATTATAATAATAGCTAGATAGATTATAAATAAATAGATTATAATAATATAATAAATAATGGAAATTCAATGAGAAGGAAGATTTGATAAGTGTCAATTTTGTGATCGACAGAGCAAATATGTGGTACTTAAAAACGTACGTAACTACATTGCCCTGTTATAGATTAGATACGTGTCACCGAGTTACGAAGACATGTACATATATGTCCTCTCATACTCTACCACTCACTACTACATACTTAAGGTATATATGTATATATATATATATATATATGAGTAAATACTAATAATGAATATTCCGTTTTTCGCACGTTGAGCGTAAAATACAGTACCTAGTTATCTTTAATATTGATAACAAATATACATTATACTTAGCGGCTTAGAAACGGCGTGTTTATGTGGGAATACGTTTGTCTGTGATCATTTCTGCTACGTTCATCTTCTTGCCTTATAGCCAGTTGAAACGTAGCTGATGTTCATTCACCTTACCAAAAAATAAAGAAGTGAACGTAAAACATCGACAAACCGGCTGCAGTTGATTGAAGACAAGCAGCATTGCGGTACTATCGCTATTGAGTCCCATATGCCATCGAGGTAAGTGGTCCGATCGGCGACGAGTGGCCCACAGTCGACGGCTCAAGACAAGTTAGTTCGAACGTCACGTTGAGATAATAGTTTTAGACAACATTCAGAGAAATCAAGAGATTTTTAGCCTCTCCGGTTGCCATCATTTTAGGTGGAGATCGATGGTGGTAGTAAGAGCGTAGATTCTGTTAGTTAGAGGAGGTTCAGTGTTGAGCATTTGACTGCGTTCAACTACCCTCATAGAGCCCCAATAATCGTACGAATTCTATCTTTCAGAATTCAGCAGACGGCTATAATAAATGCAGATTTTGGAATAAGCTCACGTCAATATGATGCTTTCTAGCTCATATAAGCCAGCATTCAATGGCTAAAAGCGGTATACGTGTCACGATTTACTACAACACAAGTCCGAAATATAAAATTCCTAAACAATCGTTACACAGCCTATCGTTACATAACAATCTAGTTAGGCAAAAAATATAAACTTTAGTAAATTGATTGTATAATCTTTAGACTGTTTATTTCGCAGTTTGTGCTATTATTTTTGGATAGCAACGATTCTCCAGTCTCTACAAGGATGAACTGAGAGCCAACATAACTCATGATAAAATAAGAGACTAGGGGAAGAGCCATGATAATGCTAGCTAGAACACAAAGCAAGCCACGCTCCTTTTATATATACAAGTAGTACTGACAAAAACGGGAGGTGATTGAAAGAGCCTGCTACCGGTTAAATATCGATCGCTTTTATTGAGCTTACATGGGTGAAAGCTCGATTCTATTAAGTTACAAAAAAGATTCTGTTGTTTTTCCGCCATTTCAGTTTATATGCTCCGGGTTTCAGGGTATCATAAAAGATCCAACTAAATCCCAGAAACGATCTTGTAGAAATTACTTTGTTTTTCATCGCAACGAAAGACATATTGTCAGACAGTTAACGATGTCACCTTCCGTGAGTTCATGGCTTACTTTTCATCTTGTTGAATCTTTTCTACTGCGAGCAAACGATTGAGAACAGTCGGCTGGGTTACTTCTAGCTGGGCAGAGAGCTCTCGCGCCGACTGCACCATATTTTGCGTCGTCGTGTAGCCGTGTGGGGTTACGTAATTTGTATACCTTAAAATGTCCGCTTCAAAATGCGGTTGAATCAGGACTGACAAGCAGGAACGCTTACTGCACGTTTGCGTTGGACTTCTGACGATTGTCTTTATCTTGACAGAGCTTTTCCTACCGCGATCGTGAAGAAGACAACATCTGATCTTATTGAGTTCCATAGTTGAACGCACCGAATAGCTAGTTCTAGCATCTTCCGTGTCCAGAGCATGTCCAACAGTCGAAAGCATTATCCTGGAAAGTTTCAGTTAGCTATGATTTGGCAGTCCGATGCTAATTCTAGGTATCAGCTCCAATTGTTTAATTTAATCATATTGGCCCGAGTCAGTAGAACACTTTGAAATAACCGGATTTTTAATGACAAAATATCGTATGAAGCAGCGAATTTGTTAAGTCTGTTTTACTGGGTCAAGACGACCTGATACC